GACATTCATTATAACAGAAATGGCCGTTTTCACACTAGCGACAGATTATTCGTGTGAGATGGGTTATCTGTTTGATAATTCGCGTCAGATAGGTAATACGTCCTAATTTGAAATGGAAAGGGTTATAATTTTGAATGAACAATCCGCCTGACTTTATCTGTCAATTTTGACGGACAGTTTGAAGATGGATTATCCGTTTCAGATAGCCTGTGTACAGCCGCCCCCTCCCCTCAGAAAAAAATGGGAGAAGGGGTGTCTGTGGGAGGGGGCGACTGTGCACAGGCCATTCTCAGACGGATAATCCATTTCTAGCTCTAGTTTGAAAACGGCCGATAACAAAATTTCCCGTGTCTAGTGTTTTCAATGATAGCGAAGGACTGTACAGAAAGACTGTCTGCCGTTGCCTTGTCCATAGGCCTCATTATTCCGCGCGGCTAATGCGTTTCGAGTCACGTGGTCCGAACGAGTTTTTTTCTCAGATACGCCACCGAAATGCCTTCACCGAGATTGTGTGGGAAGACGCCGAACAGGGACTAGGCATGGCAATGTCTACATTAGAGTCAGAGAAAAACAGGGAATTGTTGTTTATCGGTAACGTGTTTACAAACAGTGACATCTCTAAGTGTTGTCTCACTAGTTTTTTGAGGGAAACGACCTGCTGAAAATCGCAAATTTTAATCCCTAGCAAGAAGCCAGATTTTCGCTGTGGAAAAAATTAGTTCTCCGAGAGAGCGGCGGAAATGGAGTTTAGGTCTGGGTCACAACTAAAAGGCGCTTGGCCTAACGTGGGTACGGAGTCAAAGTAGCCGGGAAATAAATAACGCAACCATAAGTGAGTTTAGGGAACAAATTTACAGTTAACTCTTTTTTACCCTATTTACGGCTAACGGTTAAAATTTTTCAATTTTTACGGCTATCGACTAAATTTTTGGCCGTTTTACGCCTATCGGTTAACCCCATTACGACCCTCTAGGAAGCCATTGCTTGGTGGTCACTCAGGCAAATACTGAATTACATTCCTTATGTCCAATATTACCCAATGCCCAAAGCAACCTTTATTGAATCAGCTTGACTTGATATGTCGAGCTTCACCCACTAGTTAACAAAAGTTCGACGTTTGAACTGGGTCTAAGAACTTGAAAACTGCATGAAGGAAGATAAAAACATACTCGACGCGAAAATTTATAAGCGATTAGGAAGTCATCCGGAAAGACCATGACAAACTGTTGTTTACCTTCGGGGATCGGAATGTGCTCAGTGAAATAATTTAACAGCACATACACAATTAGAATGTTTTACAACGTACTGATCTCCTTGAAACACTCACAAATTTTTAGTCAAAGGAAACATTACTTCAACAATTGCTGTGTTTGGGGCAAGCCACGAAGCAGCTTTAACTCCCATCAACCCGCAATGTCAATTCCTTTAGAACGTTTTTTTTTGCTAATTTAAGCAACAAATATGTGGGACTATATTTTTGAAAAAAAAATATATTGACAGCCTTTGGCGAAACAAATATACAAACGCTAGCAGAATTATTCCGCTTCTATAGATGGCTTTAGACTTAGTTCACCGGCCTCTTAGTATAAAGTTTTCAATTCAACTAGCTAACATTTTCAGGAGCCTGGCTATAAGAATGATCTCGTCACCGTTTTTACATGTTTTTCACCAAAAAATCGTCTGATTATTTCATTTTTTTATTTCATTTTTCATTTTGAAACAAAAAAAGATCATAACAATTTAAAAGCCCTTTTTTCTAAACAAATGTTTCGTCCCTGTCAAGATATTGCAAAGTTAGCGAAATTCTCAAAAACATTCAAATAGCACTGAACCGCCACCAAACTGAGTGAAACGTAAAAATAACCGTTCAAGACATTACAAGAAGGTATATGTAACACAGCAAATAAAAGAGAAGGCATGGATGGACAAACTTAAAGAAGATTGAAACGGATTGCAATTGTCGTGTTAGAAAACTTCTCAGTTACCCTAACAGCTAATCAAAAAGTTCATTTTTTTGTGTTTGTATCGTTTTGTATAATGCTTGGGAGACATATTTGTTGGGCAGGAAGCTAGACTGTTCTTTTGTCATTCACAAGTAATTCATGCCCCAAGTTCATCGCAGAGCGGGATTGTAGCCATAGAGAGCTGTTTTGGGTTCTTTCGGCGTCGCGTTGATCTATTGCAGAGTTAATTTTTACGTAGTATGATCAGCATTGCAGTATTCTGCTTGCAGAATTTAATATGTCTACATTATTATTTTTGCTGATCAGGTCTTTATAGATCCTACGTTCTTCGGCATATTCGTTTGCGGTCCTTTGCAGTCCC